TGATCATCACCACCTAGTACTCGCCTACGCACATCATCGTTCCGGACACGCTGGTGCCATCCGACACCAGCAATGCTTCGCAAACAACGATGATCAAAGACTTGAAGGCGCCTCAGATCTTCAGACCGAAGGGGCCAAGTCTCACTACCATACAGCAGAACGGCCCTCACTGTGGCCTTGTATACACGGCCTTTCAGACGGAGGGAAACTCCCTTTTGTCGCCAAAGATGACGCAGGTTCAAGAAGGCAGCTCTAGCCTTTGCAATGCGTGAGCTCACGTCAGTTTCTATGCGCCCATCATTGCTGATGCAGCTGCCAAGATAAGTGAATTGATCAACCACATCGAGTTCCTCGTTAGCAAGCGTCAAGGGGTCATCGAGTGGCTGGTGGTCCTGCAGCAACACTTTGCACTTTGAAGGTGCGAAGTGCATACCAAATAATGGGACCACTCTGGATAGGCTATTCAGGGTTGATTGTGCCGCCTCAACATTGTCGAAAAGCAAGACGATATCGTCCGCATAATCTAGATCAACTAACCGTTCACCAGGCAGCACTTCAACACCTACATCGTGAGATTCCGCAAGGGAACACTCCATGATAGAATCCACGACGAAATTGAACAAAAATGGGGAAATCGGGCAACCCTGTCGAACGCCACTTGTAGTCGAAAAGCTATCCGATAGGGCACCATAGACCCTGACGCGGCCTCTAGTGTTCGAGTATAGAGCACGAAGGATGTTCACATATTTCGTGGGAACACCTTTCCGCGCAAGTATTTCGAACAGAATCGATCGATCGACTGAATCGAACGCACTCTTGAAATCGAGGAACACAGCTATTGTCGGCCTGCGGTATGCGTGGCACTGCTCTAGCACCTGCCGCAAAGTAAATATATGGTCTATACATTCACGTCCTGGGCGAAAACCGGCCTGCTCTTCTCTAATCCGAGATTCCCGTTCTTCAGTGAGGCGACGAACGATAATCGAGGCCAGTAATTTTGTCACAACTGGCGTTAGGCTAATACCCCTGTGGTTCGCACAGTCTGTGCGACTGTCCTTCTTGTATATTGCCACTATAATCGATTCGCTCCAATTAGTCGGCACACTCTCTTCGTTCCAGATACGTTCGAATAGGGAGGTCAGTGCTTTGCAGAGGACCTCACCTCCATCCTTAAATAGTGCAGGTGGTAGGGAATCCGGGCCAGCGGCAAGAAAACGATTGAGGGCTGTGATCGCGTTTCGGACCTCGGCCTCCGACGGAGGCTCTAAACTAACCGTCCATGGCTCGTCCTGCATCACCTGAGTAGGAAGAGGTCCGGGAGCAGGGGGCCAGCTGAACTGATTTTCAAAGTGCTCAGCCCAACGAGCCATACGGCACTCCTTATTGTGTATCAGCGCACCCGCGCTGTCCCTGATTGTCTCACTGATGCCTGGTTTTCTCGGACCAGTGGTGCGTATTAGCTGGAAGAGCTTCCGGTAATTGCCTACTGCTCCTGCCTCCTCCATTTCTTGAGCCGTTCTGGTCCACCAGGTTTCCTTGTCAGCACGTAGGCTCCGCTTTAGTTCACGCCTAATAGCCCGTCGGGTCACATTGTGTTCAGAACCAGCCGGGAGGTGCCTTCTAGCATCCAACAGGTTCACGGACCTCTCGGATATCCAGTGACTGGTGCGGTGTCCATGGATAGTGCCACAAGCAGATGCTCCTGCGTCGTGCATAGTGGCGGAGATCCTATTCCACTGAAGCTCAGTGTCATTAGGACAAGACAGCGAGAGTTCGCTATGCAGTGCTTCTTGATAGGCTTGCCTGACAGAGGGCTGGGACAATTTCTCCGTTGCCAATCGGGGGAGACGCTTTGTGCGCCTTCCGGTAAAGTTCATGGAGAAACGACAGCGCACCAAGGCATGGTCAGAGTCGACACAGGTACTCCAGTACGAGCGGCAATCCAGAATGGAACCGCGCCACCTGTAACTTATGGCTATGTGGTCAATTTGGGTCCATCGCTGACCAGCTACAGGTGGACGCCAAGTGGCACTTCGGCGCCCACTGTGTCTAAAAGCAGTGCTAGTAAGAAACAACTGGTGCTCCGCACACAGTTGCAGCAGACGCTCGCCGTTGTCAGTCCGTTCGGAGTTAAGTCCATAATTACCACCCAGCTGAGCATCTGAAGAGCTCAGACGCCCTACTTGTGCGTTCATATCCCCTGCAAGTACTACAATATCTGAACTAGTAGCACTGCGTAGCAGCGTGTTCAGTTCGTGATAGAAAGTGTCCTTGACTGCATTAGAACTGCAGTCCGTGGGAGCATAAGCAGAAATCACAAACAAACAGCGTTTTGTTTTACTTCGCGAATTCACCTTAGCTGATGTCGTCAAACGGGCTGCACATAAACGGCTGTTCACCGGAATCCAATCAACCAGCGATGACTCAGCCTTGGAGCTGAGAATGATACCTACACCAGCTTGACCCGTGAGTGCCGCATCGGCGTCTCCGGATGCGTGCAACCAATAACGAGAAGATAAGCCGGGTGCAGTCAATTCAATAACCCCGTTAGGGTCATTAATCCTAGTTTCGGACACACAACACACATCAACACCCAGTGTGTCCAAGGTGCGTGCGAGTGCAGCCTGCTGACCAGCGTGGCCTTATAAGGAACTTTTGTCGATAGGCGTCCGATAGGTGCTGTGGGATGGTGGCTGCAGATGGTTCTACTCCAGTAGCACTTCGGTTGCTGTCAATTAAGCTGGGAAATATAGAAGGAAAGTTAGTAATGGGGGCCGGGATGGGAGTAAGAGAAAAAGGTGGAAAAGAAAGAAGGGAGGCGCCAGCAGTAGCATGCTTTCGCTTATCCGCCCTGCTGTATGCAGCAGATAAGGCGACCCTTGATAATCTGCGCGACGGCCGATGCAGGATGAAGTTTATGTTTGAAGAAAATGTCATGGTTGTATGTGGGCTGGGATACTGCCAGGGCGCCCAGACCTAGACAGGAGAACGATTAGGGTCCTCATCCAAGGCCTTTGGCTCAAAAGCCTGTCCGCAAAACAGCGGGGTGGCAGTGATTTAGTTTTAGAGAAATGGACGCCATCCCATTTCAAACCCCCAACCTGGAGGATCAGGAGACTGAGTTTGTCTGACCTCTCACCATTGACCAACCTGGTAGGAGAAGCTCTCAAGATGCTCGAAGGCATCACCCAGTATAGCTCAATGGGTCAATGAGGTACGCAAACCGTCGCACCACGTTAAGGTCCAGTCTCGTTGCGACGGACAACTGCCTACCAATCTCAAGCAAACGGAATGGTGGAGCGTTTCCACCGACAGCTTATAGCCTCGCTAAGTGTCGCTAATGCACTTAGTTGGACAGAAGTTCTGCCCATGGTACTACCCGGAATTCGATCAACACTGAAAGCCGATCTCGAAACGTCCAGCGCCGAACTGGTCTATGGACAACCACTTCGATTACCAGACAACCTCTTCTCTGAAAGCCCGAACATCTCGCTATGACGCGCACTGCGCTCGGAAGCTAGCCACTAGCATGCGCCGTAATAAATCGACCGCAGTACGGGAACAGCATCGCAAGTCTTACATTCCCAAAGATCTTCACAACTGCCCGTTTGTCTTCATTCGCATTGATGGTCTACGCAGACTACTCAAACGACCTTACGAAGATCCATTCAAGGTCCTACGACGTAAGGACCGCTTTTTCGTCATAGTACGCAGCGGCAAGCACAATACCGTCTCAATCGACCGCCTCAAAGTTGCTTACGTCTAACCAGAGTCGAACGACAACTCAAATTTTGCGTCTTCCGATGAATCAATCCAACTAATGGTGAAGGAAACTCCTGCATACAGGAACACCACAATTGGAAACCCGTCTCTTGAGCCCTCCGACTCCGCCACGCCTAAAAAGGTTACTACGTCTGGTCGTCGGGTTCACTAGGCGACACGTTTCTTAGAACGTTGAAAAAAAGGTAAAAGTGTAATGTAATGTAGAAGGTTAACCTAGCATTTTTGCTCCTAACAGCGTTTTCAGTTTTTCTTCACATCAGTAAGCTCCGAAAACCATAACAAAAACGTAAAACGTTTCGAAAACCGATAAAAAGAGTGGTTTTCTTGATGTTTCGCTGTCTAGTCGGTAAGTGCTTTTCCCGTCTGTTGCTATCGCTTCTTCTGCATGCCTGACATCCCACGTTTCTTTCTTTCTTTCCATGTTGCGAACTGGAGAACACTCGCTCGTGGTCAAACACATGTGATCGTATGCAACGAACGTTCTCTCCTTTTTCTTCTATCGGCACCTTAAGGGAGGACATGGGTGGGATCCCGCTAGGATCCAATCGCCTGATTCTCCCACAGCAGCTGCATCAGGTTTTACCGCCTGGTCTCGCAGAAGGCTGGCCCGCGACGGACGGTCCTCACGTAGTTCGAAGGGTCACTAACGGTTCCCTTCCAGGAGGGGGGCTATGTAGTGACCTGGAGATTGTCCCGTTTGTCTGTGTAAAATATTATTAAAATATAATGTCACTCTGTACATAGACAACTTAGGAAACTTGCCTGTTCGCACGAGGACTACGTGTGTTTGAGTCATCCAGACGAATCGCATTCGCGCGCTTCCGGCTTTTCCGCCTCGAAGGGCGTTTGCTACGTCTCGGCTGGCGACTACACCTTTCCCCTAGCTAGAACCTTTTTGCGGTGCCTTCAGCTAGCGGGATTGTACGTTTCGACCATAAACGTCTATCTCGCCCATATATCCGTTTTTTTCTGCCTTTTCCTTGAGGCGGGACGAACCTGACACAGCGACCGAGCGCTTCCGCTATACGCTCAGCCGTATGACTACGGAATCGGAATAAAATTTGTGGTGCTGCCGCATACTGCACTAAATATGGTAGCAAAGGAACCCGTGGTAGGAAAGTTATAGCTGCGGTAGCTGTCAGAAAACATTGAACATGGAGCAACATAGCATATAAGACCGGTGAGCTGTCGCCTACAGAACAAACAAAAAGACTCACTTTAAGACAGGGATTTTGAAGAGCAAAGTAGGCTCGCATAGTGTCTTCATCTAGCTGTTCAGCTAGATAGACACCGAACGTCCCATACTGGTCGTATATACGGCGCTTGTTAGGATCACTTAAAACAGAATGAGCGCGGTTGATCTCTTTGAACTACAAAACGTATTAAAGAAAAACACACTTTACCTTTTCGGAAAATTCCGGATTATTAGGGTTTTTGTCTGGATGATAACGCAGAGCTAACTACACAGGGAATTATGTTAAGTTACCATACCTTTCGATATGCCTTTTTAATATCAGCTGGTGAAGCATCTTTACTTACTTCAAGGACATCATAATAGTTTACATGCTCTTTACTGTCGCACACAAAAATAATGCAAAAAATACTTACGAAACACTACCGCGCTGTCCTCCGACCCCATCACGACCTAGATCTGGTGCCATCAGAGCACCGCGAGCGGAGATGACCTTCAGGCAGGAGGTCAAACGTTAGCGTCCAAGGTCAGCAGTTTGAGCAGCGGTTGTAAAGCGCAACCGTTTTCACCATTCCTAACAACTGGTTGTAGCAGGTTAATTGCAATTCACAATATGTGCCGACTATTTGTATGCGTTTTTATTAATTAAGGTTTATATAGTATTGCCAAGACGTGTTACCCAGTCTGCATAAGTGACCAAAAGGTGTCCAGTGGAATCAAGTTCAAGTTCAAGTTCAGTTAGGACCGGAACGATAGGATAATCCCGTGAATGTTCCTTCTTTTGCGTATCGTTGGATCGGGAATTGACAGGTCTGCTTGAGATGTTGAAAAGTCTAAAACAAAGACCGCATCACACCCTGTCCAACCAATTACTGCCCACATTTTCCTGCCCAGCAGTCCCTGCCGGGCCGGTTTATGTGAAGTAAAAGAGTGAAGGGTAAGTTAAGAAAAGAAAAGGAGGAATGTCAGCTAAATAATGATAATACCAAGGTGAGAAGAAGATTAAAAAAGAACGAAGGGGAAGTTGAAGATACAAGTCGGTTAGGAGAAGGGGAAGGTTTGGTACTGCCACCCTAGAGCATCTAATTGACGCTCGAAACCCTCTACCGTAGACTCCCTAACCACGTGCGCTGGAAGCGAGTTCCAACGTTCAATAATTCGACGCGACAAGCGAGTTTCCGTCCTTACCCGGTCAGAACGCTGTTTGTGCAGCTTCAACGGGTGACCTCGGAGACTAGGCAGCTTGGCGGGACTAAATAGCCAGGATAAATCTGGACCAATCTTACCCGTTAAGATACGGTAAGTGAGAATCAAGTCTCCTCTAATTCTGCGGTAGTGCATTGAGTACATACCCAAGCTAAGCAAACGTTCGGGATACGTTTACCCCCGTAATCCTTGCAATAACCTTGTACCCACTCGCAAAACCCTCTCCAGTTCCATTTTGTCCCTTACAAGACAAGGTGGACAAGCCTGGATACAGTACTCTAAGTGAGGTCGCACGAAAGCTGAGAACAGCTTCACAAAGATATTGGCCGTTAGGACACCGAAGGAGCGGCGAATAAACCACATCATACGGAACCCTCTACAAGCAGCCTTCCTCCAATTTTCCCCAGAGTGAAGCAAGGAGGTATGGGTGATACCTAGATCAACCTGCTGAATGACAACAGGGAGTTCACTTCCACCAACTACATAGCGCGTGGGGGGACTAGCACCTCCAATGCGGAGGACAGAACATTTCGTCTGATTTATGGGCATCAACCATAAGGTTGACCAATCCCAGAGCCTATCCAAAGCACTCTGAAGTGCCTCAGAGCCACCAGTTCGAGTTCAACTTCAAGTGGGACTGGAACGATAGGGTTATCTCGTAAGTGTTCCTTTTTCGGCGGGTCTTTGAACCAGTACTTCGCTAACTGAAATACTGATGGACCTAAAACAAAGACCGCATCACACCCAGTCCAACCAATTAATGCCCACGTACCCTGCCCTAGCAGTCCCTGCTGGGCCGGTTACGTGAAGTGAGAAAAAGAAAAAAGTAAACTCAGAAAGCAAAAGAGTAAGTGGAAAGAGCTAAGCAAGTGGAATATCAAGATATTTGGGTCATTAAAAAAAGAACTGAAATGTGGAGGTCGGCAAGGAAAAAGGAAAGTTTTACTGTTGTCACCCAAAGCATCGAGCTAGCGCGCAAAACACTTAACCGTAGGTTCCCTAACTACGTGCTCTGGAAGCGGATTCCTGCGATCTATAACTCGGCGGGACAGACGAGTTTCCGTCATGATCCTCTCAGACTGTGGCTTATGCAGTTTCAGCGGGTGACCGCGGTGATTATGTAATGTTGTGGGAATAAATATCCCTGACAAGTCCGGACCAATCTTACCCTTCAAAATACGATAAGTGAGAATCAGGTCCCCTCTTATCCTTCGGTAGTGCATTGAGTACATCCCCAAACTGAGCAAGCGTTCAGGATCCGTCTGCCCCCGTAGACCCTGCACTAACCGAGTGCCCACTCGTAACACCCTCTTCAAGTCCACTTTGTCTTGGTTAAGACATGGTGGACAAGCCTGAATGAAACGGTAGGTGCTTGAGTGACCGATTTTCGTGCTCCGGCAGTCTCAATTGTCCCTGTTTAGACGATATTTTGTCCCCCGAGCGGTTTCTTTTCCAATCCACCATTAAGATGTACCTTTAATGAATTTTTCCTAGTTGCATGAAGACGAAATAGATGAACAAATTATAAGGACGCAATTGTATGGCCTATGAGCTAAGCAAAAATTCTTGAGTGACTGAAATTCGTCCCAATTGGGATGACTTTTGGTCACTAAGTATGTATTTTCAATGCACCTTACCATATACCTTAATTGCATTTTTTCTGAATGCAACGGCCGTCAACAGTAAGCAGAAATCGGTGGCCGTATTGTAAGTACAGAACACAATATCCTTTAAGCTAAACAGAAAATCTTATCGTGATACCGTTTCGACCAAAAATTGACCAGTTGGGGCTGCGGAGCACGAAGATTGTTTACTCCATTAGGGAGCTCCAATTGTCCCCCGTGTTGAGTAAAATTGTGGTTTTCCTAAAAAGTAACTCGTTATACCTGAAGAACGGTTGGTTTAAGGTATACAATCCCTTTTACCGGCATATCTAAGTAGTTCACGACAATCGCTTCCATATTAAATTTTTACCTACGCGAGTGACCAAAAACACTCCCAAATAGGACGCTGGCCCTCCGTCTGTGAGGATAGGGAAATCAGTTTTTGGTCCAAGCTCAACTGGGAGAGGAACAACGGGTAAATTTCAATGGATTACCTCACCACCGCGTCGTTGGACCAAAACGTTTTCGCATCGATTTTAATCCTTGGAGAATCGATTCAGTCCCGTCCATCACATCACGTTCAAATAATCGGTGCCCGCTTAGCCCGCATTATTAAGCCCCTTGCGGAGGCCACTTAAAAACCATTTAAAAGTCAAAATAAAATAAGTAAGGTAAAAATAACGCTGCTAATCATAACGCAACGGTGCAAATGTAGAGTAAATTAAAGGCATTTTTATGTAATGAATAGTTAAGAACGGAACATAGCAGCTGACTCAGGAATCAAATGAGAAGGTTTGTGACTGCAACGCAGATCCGTCAAACTGATCTTCAAGCACCGTCACGTTAGTTTGAATATCACGTCCTTGGTTAATATACTTCCGTAATCGCTACCCGCACTTGACAAACAAACCTCCGCCATGACGAGATCGGGTTGAGGGACGTGCATACTCAGAGAGTGGCCAGGACCAGTGGCATCCGAGCTGGATGTAACGGTTGTAGATAGATTAATTCCAAGCTGGCCAAACAACACATCTTCTTGAGGAATCGATTGAGTTGAACTCTCCGATAGGGCAGCGAGGACCATTGCGGCCGGACCCACTTATCGGAATGCGTAAGACACCTTAACCCGTGTAAACTATTGTGCCACTTCTCCGACTTCACTCAACAACAATATTGCCAACGAACAAGCTTGAGGGATAGGTCTTTAGGCAATACCCGAAGTATAGCCTAACGAAAACTAGGAAAAATGATAGATCATTTGGTGATATTCTGAACGTCCTGCTTTTCATGCATAGCATTCGGATTCGCCTATGAGTAGTTGTCGTCCGATTCCCACTGGATTGATTGTTCGTTAAAAGGGTAATCCGCAATTCAACTTGTTAGGCAATTCTAGGTATTGTGGTTCCACCAAGTGAACAACGCATGAGGAATATGCTCAAATCCATGCCCAGGACCAAACATTAAGCAATGGTTATCCGTGACGGCTGCTACACTGACGCATACCAAATGACGTCGAGTTTTCTCCAAAGTCAAAGCAACACTGCATTCACTTACTTCGCTCCAAATCCTTGGTTCACAGTGAAAGCGCCAAAGCTGACCCGGTCTACAATTTGACCACCTCGCTTGAACGGTTACCATGTAAACGCTATGGAGCCAGAACTCGGTAGGTTGACCACCTAGGTAAGTTTCAAGCCCACCACTTGGGCTATGACAGTCAGTATTATTTCAACCCCCATAAGTTGACCATTTGCGAACTTACCAACATTGGTGCCTTATTGGTTGGTTTGTTCCGATGACATGGTGTGCAGCGGGACAGCATTGTGTGGTCTGCTGACGCCCAACTTAGTGAACTTTAAGTTTAAGGATACAGCCTGTTCTTTGTGTGTATATTTATATGCCAGTTAGTCTCGGCCGTAGGCGTTTATGAGCACCCGTAGTACCTAACTGAATGAGGCCCCCACAGATTCGCGCCAAAGAAAGGACGTAGAAGGATTTATGCCAACCTCCATCATTTGCCCACTTACACGGACAGGCCTCCGTCTACATATAAGCACATGTGTCCACTCACCGCACCGGCCGTACTAAGAAGTTTGAGTGATAGTCAAAACATCAGTTAACCACCAGATCTAAGCATCAATTCAGTGGCACGTTGTATTGTGGCTTGCTTGACATTTACGCCCGAATTAATTTTTGCGCGTTTATCCTGTCTATCAGGCAGCAACCTGAAGCTGAAAATAACTGCGTTTAGTTACTATATGTATTTAATATTATGTTCGTAGAGGCACGCCAGTTAGAGAAATCCAGTGCTTTAAACAATTTAGGATCCTCCATTACGCGTAATTCAGCATTATGGCCCAAGGAAAGAACCTAAGAATGTTTCGGTTGAGGGAAGAGAGTAGCCAGTGACATTAACTAGAAAGCGCTAGACAAGGAAAGCTGGTAGTGCTTTTTGGGGTTGGCAAAACAGCACCTGAATAGATAAACAGGAATATGTGAAGAGTTCCGAAAGCGTAAAATAGTTACGGCGGGAGAGGCGGAAAATTTCACATGATGAAGTCAGCGGCGCTACGCTGTGCTGATTTAAGCACCTAACTCTCGAGTTTCTTGGCTGATTAGCTAAGAACTATATAAAAGTTTCGCACAATAATTTGCGGTTGGAAGTTTCCAGTGATTCGGTGACTGGTTAGAGAAATTTAACCTCCGACATGAAATCGCCATAAAGTTTTGTGTGTTGAATCTAAGGAAGTGCCTGAAGAGTTTCCTTACGACTGCATCAAAAACTTCAACTATGGCCTTAACAATTACGACACTTATAATGCTCACGAGTGCGATCCATTTCACAAGGCGATACCTAACAGGACACTTGCTGTATAAGGCAAAAATAAAAAGAGTGGAAAACATTCGTTTACTTTTACTGTTCGGTTGTGCGCTAGCACAAGTTGTGTGAAAATAAATATCCTGGTACATCGGCTAGGTCAGGTTCGTTCACAAACCTAAATCCCAGCAAACTTCCAGTCATCCGGAGAGCAAAACGAGCTGTGTGGAAAACTGCTGCAATATTTGTCGTGTGCTTCAGAAGTATCTACAAAGAAATGACGCATAAGTTATGCTTCATTATTCCAAACGTGGACAACTTTCCTAGTCACACCCATGGCTGGCTAGTGAACAACCTCTTCGTGATGCCATCTAGGTGTTTCGGGTTTACCTCGTTACAGTAACTAGTTAGGCAGTATTGTTCCAGGACCTGGTTGGTTTTCGCCTGGCAAGCATGCTCCCCATAAATAGCCACAACTGTCTGTTTAAATACAAGGTGACTTGACGGTTGTGCAGCGCAACCAAATAAGTCGCCTTCTTGCTTACTCGGACAACCGCTTCAGTTCCACAAACATCAAGCATCACTTTAGCACTGACGCCTGGATCAAAAGTGCAGGAAAGCCTTTACAAATCCCATAAACTCCACCACACACGCCTGCATGCACACATACGCATAACCATATAGCAACCTATGTGACAATCTTATGGTTTCATGGTACATTAACTGACCACAGTTTGTACGCTTACCATGATCAGGCTTGTGCAGGCGTGCCTCGTGCAGTCCAGAACCAATATTTTATTTAGTTGTTACTGCTTTCAATTGGGACCACACAAATACATCTGCTGGACCCAAGACTAAGTATAATCCACAAAAAACCAAATGGAGCTCACCTCAAGCAATGGGGTATTGCAAACTTGCATACTAATGACTATCACATGGAAGGAGATGCATCTGCTGCATCAGCTAATGCCTTGGATAATGTGCCTTGGAAAAGTACCGCCTGGATAAAAGTTTGCTCAAACTACTACAGCCGTGTTTCTGTAAAGCTGGATTTGTTTAACCTCTCGAGTTGGATGCAGTTGCTTTACTAGACGTCCAGTTGCTCTTGGCAGAATCCATCGGAATAGATTTTATAATTTGTTGTCTTGGATGCTAACATGGAAACGTTCACTGAGCGAGACGCAGGTGCTATTGTTAAGTGCTACGTATTCCGGTACTCTTTGCGGGAACAAAAAAGAACACCTGCAGTTGCTGATGTAGAGCAAGAAGGATAAAGCGACACCGAGTTGGCAAACACAGAAACTTCAGAAGAAAATGCATTCAGATGCCTTTTAATTAAAATGCAATTATTTGTTTTGGAAAAAATGGCAAAGCATGCTGATTAAGATGGCTTGTGCAGTGCGCGCTTTTCTTACTTACCTTGGATCCTAAGAGAAATAATCAGACAAAGCTTGACTTTGCCTGCAAAAAGTGAGTTAAAGTGTAAACTGCACACTGAATTTTGCTTTATTACAGTATGGTAGGGTTGAACTGAGCTTGCCGTTAAGTGTGGCTTCTTTTAATATGTCTGAAACGGGTTTACCTGCTAATTATGTTTACAATATAATACTCACACCGGGAAAGCAGGTTACTCTAAGTTTTGTGTAGTACCTCTGAGTCTCGACCACCTCAATGCGTAGACTTCTTTGTTCCAGTTCCTTGAGGGGACGACTTAAAGATGTTTTACTTTATTCGCATACAGAAGTGCTGAAAGCTTTAGCTTCAGAATGGTCGCCGTTGTGCGATTCGCAAAGCAGAGGACAAACCACTATGGCACACTATTCGGAATGGCTTGGCGGGAAGGTAGTTTGTAACCCACTCCAACGACCATCATTGTCACGCCTCGGTTTGAAAATTATTTAAAGGGTTCCCCGAAAAGCCTTAATGTTGCAACTTAAACAGAAGTCAATGGCGTGGGACGTTGTTAACTGCTTAAACAGGGTCCTGCGAGGTACGTCTACTGCCTCAGCACAGAATTATTAAATCACTGGCAATTTTGTCAGTCTTTATCCCTGTATAACCCATACTGCAAGGGATTGAGCAAGCTGAATTTGCAAACCGCTTATCCGTAGCGGCTCGTTCCAACTTCCCCATACCTTTGCTAGTACGTTTGTTAGAAAAATACCTCTCAACATTTGGGAAAACGGGATAGACGGCAGCGGATCTCCAGTCGGAAGGGGGATAAATAAATACATTGCTTATTCTCGACTAAGCGCGGCACAGTACAGGCCTGATAAACTCGAATAAACAGGCACATTGCGGGTAGTTGGTCTGACTACCAAGACCAGTAGAATTCGCTGGGCATTTTGAGGACAGTAAAAGTCAAACACCCGTAACTTGTGAGAGTTACCCGTCACCCAAACTGTGCGCACTATGGCAAACTCAGGATTACAACCGTAGCCCTAGAATCCATCAATGCTGTGGAAAACGTCTTACGCCCTGCAACTACCCTACAACACGGTTACTGTATGGTATGCTTCAACCCCTAGGTCGCTAGGAGTACGCGACAAACAAACAGAAACACGGAGGGAAATAGCAAACTCCTTGCCTAAGCCCAAGCTTTATTTATGATTTGTCAGAAGTTCTTTCCCACGATAGTCCAAGGCCGATAGTTAAGATCTGGAAAACTGGCGGTTCATTGGTAGAAGACTTTCCTTAGTCAACGTTTTGACGCAAAAGCTCAAATGGTCACCTCACCTATCAAATTAGAGGGCTCTGGAGCGGCGCAGACACACAAAGCAGCCAAGCAGAGACGCAGTCCGTGATGGAACTCGTTACGCCTAGCTGGCAGTCACCAGTGCTGGAAATCCGTGAGAGGATAAATCAACTGAACCTGGCACCAATTCACTTGGCTGTTTTAACACTAAATAAATAAATAAATAAATAGTTTATTCTCAGTTTCATAGAGACACACCAACTCAGGCAACCAAACAAACTCACAGACCGTCTAGGACGGAGGAGGGCTGCATCGACAAGCTAAGGCACTTCTCATGCACCAAGCCAAGAGTTCCTTGTCACGGCACACCTCTCTTTCTGCTTAAATGAGGACCGCTCGCTTTTCAGTGGGTTTCTGCCTGGCAAGCATTATACCTGTAAAGCTCTGCATAACAACACTGCGAAGAGGCGGTGGTGACTGGTTACAAAATGAGAGGCACTTTTCAGAGCTTTTCCTGATATTTACGTTCCATCCTGCTTTCCAACTCCTCTCAGACTCCTGTGACACTACTAGC